TCAACATATAGAATGAGAAATATGATCTTGCTCCCACTAACCTTCAGATATATACAACGATCAATAGTGTTTTCTTTAAATCCAAAGGGCGTGATAGTATCAGTGAACTTAAGATACCATTTTTGGGAAGCTTGCTTAAGTCCGGGAAGCTTGCTTAAGTCCGTATATTAATTTCTTAAGTTTACACACCATGTGTTCCTTACCTTCAACAGAAAATCCTTTAGGTTGACTCATGTAGACCTCTTCATCTAAATTCCCATTTAGAAAGGCAATTTTCATATCCAATTGGTGTAAGTCCAATTATAATGAGCTACTAGTGTCATAATAATTCTAAATGAATCCTTCTTAGAAACCGGAGAAAATGTTTCTTTATAGTCGATGTCATCTTTCTGAGTGAAAACTATGACAACAAGTCTAGCTTTATATCATTCAATATTGTCATTCGAGTCCTGCTTAGTCTTAAAGACCCATTTACACCCGACTCTTCTACAACTTTTAGGCTATTCAACAACATACCATACTTTGTTGTGATCCATCGATTTCAACTCATCTTTCATTGCATCTAAATTTAGAAGAATTTGCACTTTCTATGGCTTATGATAATGAAACTGGATTTTTATTAACTCCCAAGTCAAATTCAGACTTGTGTAGATAAACCACATAATCAACAGAAATAACAAGTCACTTTTGTCATTGAGACTTTCTAGGTACTACTTCATATGGTTCATCTAGTATAGGTTCATTAGTGAAAGTTTCATTATTGGGTATTTGATCATATATCTATTATTGTTGTAAGTTGTCAAACTGTTCAAAAACTGTAGGAATAACAACTTGAGAAGAAATTTTGGGTAAAGGAACTTGAACCCTAATTTCTTAGATCTCCACTTTGCATGGCTTCAAACTCCCACTAACTTCACCATTTTCAATGAACTTAGCATCTCCAGCTTCAATAATTATGTACTGTGGTTAAAATAATAAAATATATATCCCTTAGATTTTTCTAGATAACCAATGAAGAAACCACTAGTTATTCTTGAGTCCAGTTCCTTTTCATATGGATTATAAATCCTTATCTCCGTTGAGCACCCCAAACATGAAGGTGAATTAAACTAGGTTTCCTTCCTGTCCACAGTTCAAAAGGAGTTTTTGTAACTGTCTTACTAGGAATCATGTTTAACAAATATATAATGGTTTTTAAAACATGCATCCACATGGATGAGGGTAAAGTAGAATTACTCATCATACTCCTAACCATTTCTATTAGAATACGATTTCGCCTTTTTGCAACGGAATTACTCATCATACTCCTAACCATTTCCATTAGAATACGATTCGCCTTTTTGCAACGCCATTTTGTTGTGGTGTTCCTGCATAGTGTATTGAGCACATTTGCCATTAGTTTGAAGGAATTTAGCAAATGGACTTGGACATTGTCCAGATTCATTATACCTTCCATAATATCCACCACCTTTATTAGACTTGATAATTTTCACTTTTCTGTATAATTTTCTCTCAACCTCAGTTATAAACACCTTTAAGGCATCTAATGATTGAGTTTTTTCATGTAATAAGTAGACATAACTATAACACGAAAAGTCATCAATAAAGGTGATAAAATACTTTTCTCCACCAAAAGATGGAACTTCAAAAGGTCCACAAACATCAGTGTATAATTTCAAGGAGTTGTGTGTTTCTTGTGACAACTTTCTTAAGTGTGTGTTTTGTGTGCTTTCCTTTAATACAATCCACATAGATGTCAAGTTTAGTAAAATCTAAGTCATTAAGGATTTTATTCTTTACCAACCTTTCAAGCCTTTATTTGGATATATGAATCAAATGTTTATGCAACAAATAAGCTGAATTTTCATTCATAAAACCACATTTAATACCAACATTATGATACAAGGTCATCAAAATCTCAATGAAAAAGTTATCAAGTTTAAGCTTATATAAATCATCATAGAGAATACCAGAACCAATGAGATAATTGTATTTAAACAAATTAAAACATCTATTTCCAAATTTAAAAGAGTATCCAACAGAATCAAGTTTAGATAATGAAACCAAATTACAAGAAACAAAAGGGGAATAAAGTGTTTGAAAAAGGTCTAAATGATGTCCATCATCTAAAATCAAGCAATAGGTTCCAATGGCTTCAACTAGAGTTTTGACTCAATTTCCCATGAAGATAAACTTTTCATTTAGGTTTATGGTTTGGGTTGTAAGGAATCCCTACATCGTATTAGAAACATGAGTGGTCCAATCAGAATCAATCCATCAAGTATTATAAGAAACTTTTGCCACATTTGATTCGAAACATACATAAACACAGTGTTTACCTATCTTTTTAAATTAGTTTTTGCACTTTAAACACTCATTTTAACAGTGTCCAAAATTTTTGCAAAAAATGACACTTAATTTCTTTGTATTCCTCTTTGTGAACTAGGGTAGATGACACATAATCTTTAGTGGTCTTTGGTTGCCCTATCTATTCTTCTTTCTAATTTTTCTTACAACTCTTCTTTGATGACCCATGAGATTAATGGAGTGATTTCCTCCTTTCTTAAGCCTTGCTTCCTCTTGAATGAGTATACATTGCACTTCATTCTCATTACACTTATTTTTCATAGTGTTGTAGTTCATGTGAAATGAACTATACTTAGGAGGCAAGGAGTTAATGATAAACTGCACAAGGAAATTTTTATTCACTTCCATTCTTAGGGTTTTAAGTCTTGTTGTTGTATCCATCATTTCAACGACACACTCATGCATAGTACAAGAACCATCAAATTTCACGTTGGTTAACGTACTTAGTATCCCAACAGGAGACTTATCAACAAAATCAGACTGAGAACATCCCTCAACAAATTTCATAATTTCCTTGGCACTTTCAGTGTTAGAAAATGTACATTTTATGTTGTTTGCTACAGTCATTTACATAAACATTAAACTCTGTCTATTCGATTTCTCCCAAGCTTTATAGAAAGATCTTTGCTCAGCACTGATAGAATCAATAAGTGCAGGAGGCTTCTCAGTTCGGAGTGCCAAATCAAGATTCAGAACACCAAGGTGAAACTGAACTTGCTCACTCTATTTAGAGAAACTAAGCCCAGTTAACGTTTGAAAATATGTAGCAAGCGAATGAAGAGAAACATAAGTAGATACTGCAAATAAGTAGAACATATTCACACATTAATGTTTCAAGTATTAAACTTAAAATTCATATTCATAACTAATCAGATTAAATGAAAACATTAATAATGTATTGAAAATCTCTTTTGGGTAATATAATAATATACAATAATAAACATAATTGATGCATGATTTTGATTTAATATAATTAATAATTATTGATACTCAAATTAGATATGTCTATTATTTTTGGATATATAAACATATCTAACCAAGTATATATATCTCGCAATAATATTCAAAGATTATAAAACAAATAATCAACCTTTGGGTGATTTAAAAATATTTTATAATCAAAGAATTTCAATATACCCATAATGAAATACAAAAGAATATTTCAGAATAAGCATCACATACTTATAAGTAATTGAATTTATTAAATTTGACATCTATTAAATATACTAATTTGATCACTTTGATGACTGCCAAATCAAACATAATATAAAACATAATATAAACATCAAATAAACAATAATTTCAATCACAACAATATACATTTCATAACATAAATTATAGGGTTAAGTCCTGATTCAAAACCCACATTTAATAATTCTAAAAATAATCTCTCAATTCACAAATTAACTTCAGTGATCTAATTTTAGGATTTAATTTACAGCAAAAAGCTAATATAATTAACATACCTAAAATTAAAATGAAAAATGACAAATTCAACAACTTGGCTCTGATACCACATGTTAGTACTTTTCATTTGTGATCCAATTTTATGACCCAAATATTTTATGCATAAAATGATCAAGATTTTTGAATTCGTGATTTTTACATATTCATTCATAAGAGAGAAACATGTATGTATTCATGATTGTAGCATTAGATCTGTGGAGATGGAGTTTCTCTCGCTAATCCCCTAAAATTTTCTGCGCTTTCTGATGAAGAGAAAGATACAGTGTCTGTTAGGAAGAGAGATGACCATTCTCTGAATATGCGCTATTTAACCACCATTCATTAGGAGGGTTATTGACCAATAAAATTTATGGCTTTCTGATGAAGAGAAAGATACAGTGTCTGTTAGAAAGAGAGATGACCCTTCTCTGAATATGCGTTATTTAACCACCATTCATTAGGGGGGTTATTGACCAATAAGATTTATAGATTACTTATCAAAAAGTTTTAAGATAATTTAATTAATTAATTATCATTTAATATTAAAAAAATGACACATGCCAATAACCACCATCCATAAGAGGTTACTTATCAAAAAAGATTTAAGACAACTTAATTAATTAATTAAAATAAATAACACACATTAGTAACCACCATCCATAAAGGGGTTACATATCAAAAAAAAATTTAGGATAATTTAATTAATTAATTAAAATAAATAACAAACATTAGTAACCACCATCCACAAATGTGTTATATATATAAAAAATATTTAAGATAATTTAATTAATTAATTAAAATAAATAACACATATTAGTAACTACCATCCCAAGAAATTACTTATTAAAAGATTTTAAGATAATTTAATTAATTAATTGTCTTTTATTATTAAAATAAATGACCCACATTAGTGATTTTGTGGGCAACCTGAGTCACGATTAAAAAATTAACAAAGTATGCTGCTTTCAATTTCAACTATAGCGAGCTTGCAGACAGAAGAGAAGTTAATGGAGATGCGGATTTATTAATATTATAATTTAGAATGTGAAATTAATAAATTGCAATATTTGATGTGCTATGTATGTACTAGAATGTGAAATTAATAAATTGCAATATTTGATGTATGTAAAAATATTTTTATTTATTTAAAACAATTAAAAGTAATTTTTATTCACGTGCCTGGCCAGTGACCCCTTACGTCTCTCTCACTGGCCATTGGCGGCTGACGTCCTCGTGATGACCGGAACCCTCGGTTTTGCACTCCGCGCATCTGTTCAACGAGTAAGCCGCTTCCTTAGCCGGCCTCTCACTCTATCTCCCTCAAGACTTCTATGCAGGTGATTCCCGCTTTGCTTTTTTTCACTCTGACCTCCCTTTTTCTCCTTCAATTCTCGTGTCTAGACTCCTGTCATTCATCTATTAATTGAATTCTTTTTTGCTCGTTGAGATTGGCCTTTGCACGTTGGTTTTTCACTTGCTAGCTTGTTTGCTATGATGTGTTATGTTTAACAACTGGGCATTTTTGTTAAAGAGTGAATATGGTGAAAATCATGAGTTTTCTGGGTTGTTTTAACTTTTTAACTTTTTAATTTTCTTACAAATATGTAAATTAAATAAGCTTCCCCCTCCTAAATTTGGGGTAAGCGCTTTTACCTCTCGCTTAAACTTCGAGTTCTGCTACTGCTCTGACCCTATCATTTATGGGGAAAATTTTCAAGTGTTGAGCAATAGATGTTTGTGCTTTCTGACTTGTAGATTGATTGGACTTTGTATGTGCTAGTGAGGATTGCTCGAGTAGGTCTGTGGAAACGATGGATACTGTTAGCAAACCTGTGACGCGTGTACTGTTTTGTGGATTTGATTTCTTATCTTCACAGAAATTCACACGGGAATATCTACAGAACCATCCATACATTCAGGTGAATTTTGCTTGATGTTGCTGATTTATATCTACTTTCATTATTTTTTAACTGTATATTCTAAGGAAGTTTAAATCTTTATTTTACAACTGTTCTCCTTTTTTAATTAGCCACAGAGAACTTGATAGATCAATAGCTTGGTAAGGCCGGTTTAAATAGAAAAGGAGCAGGATTAATTTAAACGCGAAAAACATAATTAAGCCTTGAAATCACTCAAAAATAATTTGGAACTTGATTAAACTCAAAATCTATTTAATTTTAAGTTTGACATGGTTAGCTAGATCATAGTTAGAATCGGCTAGAAATGTTACTTGAATTAAGAATTTATATAATCTATGTATAACATCGATTAGAATACAATTCCAAGTTAAAATGTACAATTTAAGGATGTTGTTCTTCCAAGTTTTTTGTACTTTATTTAAATGATTTCATGTTTAGTTCAAGTCAAGCTGGAATTGTAATACACCAATCAAGCAAACCGTGCCAGTACTTAAACTTGATATCAACCATAGACTAATCCGTAATGCTTTGTTATATATTACTACCATGCCCATATTACACACTTTCACACTCATTTTAACAATAAAGTTGTTTTTACAAGGTAATACTCCTCTTTGAACATGACCTTTGCACACTATTTAACAAGCATATTATATAGTCCCAGCCATTCTAAACTTCCTTCTAAACTAGGTCAAATTTGAATCTATATTGTATGCATTGTATATCCTTTTTGTTCAAAACTTTTGATTCAATTCATGTCCATTTTTAGCACTAAACAAGTTTCTTGTTATAGAAATTAAAACCTTCTTCTTTATGCAGATGTTGATGTAGATTGTATTCATTAATTTAAGTTGCATATGTTTTAGATATCTTGTTTTTGTAATATGTTTCCCATCCTCATTTGCAAACCCTTTATTCAATGTCAGAAAATGATTAGTTGAGCTGCTCATTCATTTATTCATTTTTTATCTCTTTTGAGGTTGTCTGTATTAAGACCCAACTTTTGAAAGATTTTTCAAATTTTTTTAGTTAGTTTCTTCTTGAATTCTGGTTGTAATAGAGTTTTAGGCTAATCTTTTTGAATTTATGTGACATTCTAATTATTTAAGCAATCATCCCTTATTCAATATAAATGAATTCATTCTTGTTCATCAAATCTGTTCTTCTACAAAATTCAAAGGCTAATGAAACTACTAAATTGAAATTAATGTGGACCTTCTAACTATTTTTTCAACATAAACTATTAACTTCTCTTTTTGGATTGTGTATGATGGAAGTAAGTCGATGACCTAACATGAAACAAGCAATTAAGTATGTCATTAAATGTGTATTTTTATTAATTTTTTAATGAACTTACTAAATAATAGACATAAATGTTCACACATAGAAATAAACAAAATGGCCAATTGTCAAACTGATTCATTTATTTACCAAACTGTCAAAATTTTGTAGAACTTATTTTATCTAAACAAATGGACATAGTAATCATCCTTATCCCAACTATTTGGTTCCACGAATTAAGATAATAATTCTTAAATAAATGAATATTTAGTTGTTTATTTAGCATACTAGTTTTTCAAATGAGGAAAAAATGGCAAAATGATCCATAAACCATTTTTATGGTGCTGTTTTAGTCTCATATTACATTATCTATAATTTAGTTTCTTGATTATTTAAATTTGATCCAAAATAGTCCCTTCACTCATCAAATATGGTCTAGAATAATTTAACTAAGGGATATATTTGGATCATTTTTGTGAAGTGAGGGATTAAATTGAACACATTAGATAGTTTGGACTAAATGACCCCATACAAATTATTCATGTCCCATTTTGTGTTTTTCCTCCACAAATATTTAGTATTTTATTTATATTTTTATTTAATGTAGAAATTGAAGGATGTGCTTTTTCTCGGCCGGATGGAGTACTTTTTAGGAGATCACTATTCTCAAGTCTTCCTAAATTTTTACCAGAAATGTAGATTAATTTGTAAAACTAGTACAATTTATTAAGCCTTTAAAAAGTCAGATGCCATAACATATATATTACGTTTGAGAAATTTGACCATATATGCCACATAGTACACAGAATTGGACAAATGTTTGTAATTTATGTTTTCTTGAGTATATATACTTGAAATTATATTTTGGATAAATTTACCCATAATGATAGATAACCTCTTGTATTCGCAGTTGTTTTTTAAAGTTGAAAATTTTGAAATTGGTTTGAATTTGAACCTACTTTGAATCAGGTTCAAACTAGAAAAGAATTCAAATGCGAACATGGTTTTAATTATTTTTCTAAGCTAGTTGTTAGGTCCCACTGTTCCTCTTATCCCCTTACCCCCTCGGGACCCCCTTTCCTCTTCCTTTCCCCATCCCTCTTTGATAAAAGTGAGATTTAGTAGAGATGGGCAATCTATTAATATATATTATTCATCAACTCTCATTTTTACCACACTAATCAGAATCAAGTGAGTAGAAAATTTGTCAATCTAGGCTGTCATAGAATAAAATCTTCTTTTTGTAATCATCTAAAAAGATTCATTATAATCATTAGTATAGAAACATGCATAATTTAATTTTTCATAATAAAATATTAAGCTATTAAAAAATTTCATATAGATCAATACATATTAGTGTATCTTTAATTTATATCATAAGCATCTTTATTTTTATCATTCATCTAAATTTTTACATAAAAATTTTGGATACATGACAAAATTTGGTTACCTAGTTATTGCCCCACCTATTACTTTTTCTCGCTTGATTAATAATTTAATGTAATATCTAATGAAAGCTTGGTGGGATAAATAATTCTAATACATGATTCAAAGAATTGATTAAAAAGTAATTGCATACATTCTGATTTTTTAATCTAATATGAGCATTAATGATCATGGCCATGACTAATTTACTAACTTAATTTTTAAAGCAAGATACCTTTTATAGTTATAAAAGTCGAAGCTAAACATAAGCAGTAATTGTACCTATTTTGAAAGAAATAAAATGCATTATTTAATTGTCAATGCTTAACATATTAAAATAATTAAGTGATAAAACTACCTATATTTTCCTTTTCTTTCTTTTTTGCCACTCATAACTCAAGAATATTATATGATATTTGTATAGATTTTAACCTATTCATATTATTTGGTCTTCATCTAGCTCGTCGGCTAGTCAATTAATGACCCCTAAATTTAAGTTTGAACCGTAATGCACAAACTCTTAGAATATGTAGTTGGAATCCTCTTTTAGCTTCTATGTTTTATCTCATTTGTTCTTTCACTTCTACATGTATAGGTCATCCTCATTTTCTAATATATGGCTGAAAGCTCTTGGACCGAGTTCAAGTTGTGAAGCTTGATGACTCGCTGAGTCAACCAGACAGCTCAACCCAATCGATTGGACCAAGTAACTCAGACTAGGGAACCTGTTCAGATAACTTGCTAATGATGATTCACACAACTCGAGCAAGTCACTTGACAACGCTTCGATGAGATCAACTTAGGAAGCTCAACTTGCTCCACAGCCGAGTTGACCGAGCTCTCTCTAGAAGATCAACCCACTCTGCGACCAAGTTGACTGACTAGAGTGTTACCGGAAGTGAGAAGTATGAGGATAAGAGAAATAATTACCAGTACAAGACGTCACTGAGATAATATTAATTATAATACCCATTCCAAAAGATAATAAAGATGATCGGTCGAATATCACTTGGGATTTGTGCATAATGAATACTTTATTTATAACATATAAGCTAACCCTTACATAAATATGGGTGATTATTGTAATGCAGGGGAAATCCTCAGATATTAAAAAGACCCATTTCTTACTTGTTCGATCCCCTTTTTTTTGGGCTCAAGTTTTTTTTCAAGCTCCTTGTTGGTGTGAATTTATAGACAAATAAGCTCCTTCCGCTCATTCCCTTCTTCTCGGCCGTAGACAAACTCAAATTTAGTGGCTCATTTGCAGGAACCACGGGTGCCCCCTTCGGAGTTACATAGGAGTTAACAGATTAATAGCTAAGTTTCGAAAGAAATCACTTCTTGGGAAACTACCAGTAGTTCCTTTGCAACTTAGAGATTCTTTTTTCTTTTCGCAGATCTACCTTTTCTCTTTCATTTTGTAAATAGCCCCTCAAAGAGTTTAGTCATCAGAAATTTGATCTTGTCTTCTGAGATATTCTCCCTCCGAACGACATAAGAAAAGCCCAAAAGATGTCTCAGGGAAGAAGGATAGACTTATGGAAAATTGCGATTCAATTAGCACCCCCCTCTATTTATAAAGATATAGTGGATGACCCATACTTCAAGAGAGTTATTAAAATCAGATAATTTCATTGGTATTATATATATATATATATATATATATATACATACATACATAAATATAAAGATTATTCTTTTAGTTTTTTTTGTAGCTTAGTAAATGAGATAAAAGAATCGAGAAACCTAACATGTACGACTAAGAGCCACTTGACTAGGTTTTAGATGTGAAGTTAGATGATTTCTTAGGTGACTAGACAACTCAAACAAAATGATTAGACCATGTAACTTGACCAAGGAAGCTAACCAGATTGCTTGTTGATTATGATTAGTGCATAGGTGCTTGAAAAAAGTAGCCCAACAACTCTCCTATGAGATCAAATTGCTTAGGGTGCTCAATTCGTCCAATATGCCTAACTCTCCCCACGATTGAGTTGGCCGAACTCTCCCATGAGATTATCTCTCTTAGAAGATCAACTCACCCCAAGACTGAGTTGATTGATCGGAGTGTTACCAGAAGTGAGAGATATGTGGAAATTAGAATTAGTTACCAATAGGAAAAGTTACTAGAATAATACTAATTATAATGCCCACACTTGAAGAAGACAAAGTTGATAGATTAAAGATCTCTTGGGATTCTTATATAATGATTAGTTTATTTGTAACATATAGACCAACCTCTCTATAAATACGGGTGATCATTGGTAGGGGAAATCCTTAGGTATGAAAAAGTCCCATTTCTCTTTCCTTAGACCTGTGTACTATGGCTCAAGTATTTTACTTTTTCTTAGCTCTTTTGTTGGTTTGAAACCACGTATAAATCACGATCCAACAACTAACATATCGTGCATAAGATAATGTTTTGTAGGCATTTTTTTTAAATATTATAATAAATCTTTTCTAAGTACAGAGCATTGCTATGCATGTATTATCAATCAACTGTTGTTAACACATGTGAAGATACACTTGACATGTAAATGTTCTCATTTGGGTATTTATTATGCATCATTTCATAAAACAATCTTGACACTCCAGTAATATAATTATCGTTATGTTTTTTAAAATAAACAGTTATATTAAAAATGTAGTAACTTTAACAGTATTACCTGGTGCTAATGACATGTTCAATGTAGAGAAATTCTATAAATATAAGATGTAAGATTAATTTGCTTTCTATATTAGAGATTGCGTGTCTCACTAAAATTTTTAATTTTACTTGGGTTAGATTTCTTTTTCTTTTTAACTACCTTGAATTTTATTCTGTTGTAGACAACTGAATAGAAGTGTTAATTTTCTCATTATCTTTTAGTTCTTAAATTAATAACTTGAAAATAAATCGATTAATTTTAAATAATGTTTTTATCTTGAAAGAATCTCTTCTTATTTGAGCCTCTATGCTTCTCAATTGAAATCAAACTCAACTTACAACGGAAATATAAAAAATTGATTTCCTAAATAATTCCATAATGTTTCTCATCTCATTGGTCTTCCTTTCTTCTTTCATTCTTTTCTTCTTCTCTTTCTCTTTTTATTCTCCTTCTATTCCTTGCCTTCTATTCATCTTCCCTTCTGTTCTTATTTTTCTTCTTTGTTTCTCCTTATTTAAACCTTTTTCCTCTTCTCTGTTCTGACTTAAATGGGGATTTCAGATATCAAGTATGGATAAAGATGAATTGAATGGATTATTTTTATTGTAAAACTAATTTAAGTATTTTTATGATAATTATATATAAATTTAAATACTTTAACTATAGTTTCCATTACAGATATTCTCATGTAACTGGCACTTCAAAGCACGGAATTTGGTAAGAAAAAACCTTAATAAGAACTTTATAAAAATATTTTTTGTAATATCCAATGTACGAAGTTATTTTTTTATTCTTCATGATATAAAAATGATTGAAATGAAATATAAAATTTTATTAAAATGCTTTTGATCATTTTCATGATGTGCAAAAATTGTTGTATAGTTTTGAGGAAAAATTCTGATATACATTTTCTGAAATTTTGGGATATTAGATAAGGTTCAAAGTTCAAATCTTACCTCAAATTACTACTTGAAGTCGCGGTTGACCATATGAGCTAGCCATTTTAAAATTTAGTTTTATTTGAATTCCTG